CATAATATATGAAACCAAAAAAAAAAAAGAAAAAAAGAAAAAGAAGATTTCACATACTTGCATTAGCAAAGCCTCCAACGCCGCACATGAAGCATCATCGCTGATAGAACCAACCCAAAACTTCAAAGCAGCACAATCCACAAATGCAAACCCAAATGCATTTGAACCATTTCCCAGTATACCACCCTAGATGAAAAATAAAGCTACATCAGCAATTCACTCATGTGAGCAAATGACTTATCATTGTTATTCCACGCATTTAAAATATCACATGTTTGTTCATATGTGATTTTATAGTATCTAGAGCTTATTCATTGCATTATTGGAGTATAAATTGCATTATTGGGCTTTAATTCTATATTTTGTTGGAAAGGTACAACACGTGCTTGTTTTGTAGATATTTTTCACATTTTTGTAGAGCTTTTGGCTATTGGAGGCACACGGTGAGTACCTAAGACCCCCGGGATGATGAAAAATTGATGCACGAATGAAAAAAATTGAAGAAACAAGTGAAACGAGCAAGGAGTGAAGTGTAGATTTGAGACAAGGGCAGTGACGCAAGCATTATGCCCGTGTTAGAGGTTGTGTAGCGTTAAATGAAAAATTGTGCATCTTCAGCTCTGACAGGCAGCGACACGGTCTGCGATATGGGTTGGATGGCCATGTCGCGCACACAGTTTTTTTTTATATTTTACCGAGGAGAAGGCTTGAGGATGGTAATAAAGGTATAATTACCCTTTTTTGAGATGGAGGAACGTGATACACAAGAGAGGGAGCCCTAGAACACACAATAGAGGTAATTGGGAAGCAAAGAAGATCCAACTACGAATGAATCAAGGACATCGAGAGATCCACGAAATTCCTAATTTCTTTTTCTTGTTTCTTTTGAACTTCTCCTTGTCATGTCGATTTCCAATATGTCTATGTATTTGATTTCAAACATGAGCGGTTAGATTAGTTGATTCTAAGGCTTGGGAGCAGATTATTATGTTAGGATTTTGGATGATTTATTTATAATTAATTGTTTTTCTTTTGAACCTATTCAAACATTTTGTTCTTATTCCATGTTTAACACTTCACAAATATTTTTAGAATATTTTGTTCTTATTCAAATATAATACAAGATTTATTTTTGTTCATAATTTGAGAGATGAGCTCAATATTAAGTCTTTAATAATTGAATGGAGAGATTAGTAGGTGGTTGTGAAGATGTTGGATCTTTTGTTCTATTTGAAGTTCAATTGCACGTCTTGAGTGGAGATGCTAATATATGTTATTTAATCTCCCGTTTTATTGATATCGTCGTATTGAGAGGGACGATAAGCTAACTTTGTGATCATCTTATAGGATAGACGAAGAAAACATTTAGTTCTGAAATCATAGTCTTAAAATCCCTCATTCTCGTATATTTCTCTTACGTGATTTTAGTTAATTCTTTGTTCTTGATTTATTTTCTTAAGATTATATTCTCTTATCTAGTTAATCCATCCTATATTTGGTCGTCTAAATAAAGTTGACACCATCATAATCTAGTACTTAATATATTAATTATTTGGTCTCTAGGAATACGACCTTGCTTGTCACATACTACAAGCAAAGCCGTACACTTGCGATTGAGCATTAAAAATATAGGGAACAATGTTACAGTTCAAAGGCAAATGAGGGCAGATACAATAGAAGAAAGGCAGCAAGTTAAACCAACCTCTTTTATGGCAAGAAGATGAACAGCATCAGGCCCAATATTTCCCTCTAATGTGGTAGCAGGTGTGAGTACGTGAATCAGCTTTCTTTGAATGACCTGAAAACCATCTTGCTTATTATTTTATGCCACAAGCAATAACCTCGACAGTAATATGGCAGATAATAAGAAAACTTAAAAATTTAAACAGAAAAAACCTGAATTAAATAAAATATAAAACATAGAACAACACCAGAACCTCCAAATTCTCATGCCCTGCTAAACCAGCTTGACCTCCACTGCTCTTTATAAAAAATGCAACTCAAGAATTAAGGGAGTTGATTATTCTGGAAAACATGGGTCCCCGGAATACTAAACAATAGAAAATGTTTTCTTTTCATATCAAAACTGAGATTTTGTTGCTTTTTATTCAAATCTAAATTTAATATTAAACGGCCTCTCTCCTCTATGCACTATAAAGTATAGAGACATGAAAAGCTTGCTCATAATGGTTGAAAACGGGTGGATTAAACAGGAGTATATGCCGGAAATCATGCTAACTTACAGATGAAGAGCCCCTGGATTTTGCTTGTTCTGATGTCTCCAATTGTTCTATACGACCAACCTTGTACCTTCCAGTTACGATGTATAGAAAGAAAATAAATAGGCAATTTCAAAAGTGTAATTTAATGTAACTTTCAAAGAGAAACATTACTCGTTTTTTCTTTGAAAATTAGTATATGCTGGATGACAGAGTTCCTTCACCAGCCACACCATGGATAAGATATTAAAGGAAATTCATATAAGTTGAATGGGTGAAAAAAACCCTAAGAAGAATCCATAGCATCAACTCATATCAATAGAGGACCTTCAAGATTATGTCTTGACCTTGGATACTACAGTAATCATTTTGGGAGAGCTTTAGGAGAGCACAGGGCCAAGGCCACAGGACCATGCATGTCTAATATTCTAAACAGGGCAGCCAATTAAATTTTAGCAGAGAAAGCCGCAAAAATGTAACAAATAATATTGTCAACAGAATTTTCCATTAATACAAGTTAATGCTTCCAATAAGCTGTAATTTCATAAAAATACCTCCTTTTCGTTTTTAGGATCCGCAAGGGGGTGTGTCCTCCTATCCCCAACTTATTGACGTCATACTTATGGGAGGCAAGCTTATTAAATCAAGACTAGAATGCAGTCACTTGCAACAACTTCCTTAATTTTTTTTTTATTTTTTTTTAACATCAACATCGGATTTTGGTAGTATGATCTTCCTATCATTATCTGAAAATGGAATTCAGGATCACTCTTTTTAAGTAGGTCACTGTAACAAATAATTAGTATCATCAATTAAAAGATTATCCTCTCAGGAAGGCCTTTCACCAATGCTGATTGCCAAAGATGTGACAGAAACCTCAATATTGATGCTAGTGTTGGATTGCACCTTTCAGTAGAACAAAGTCTTAGTAAGGGTTTACCTCAGTTAAACAGCATGATACATATTTTGTCCTGAAACTTATCATGGACAAGTACTACCAACAATTGTATGGTACTTGAATAGTTTTTATCTATTACTATAACTGCTACAATCAAGGCCACCAAAATTATCTGGTGCATTAACCTTCCATGTAAAAATGCCATGTGAAGCCGATTCATTGGATTGCTTTATTCAGGGAAAAAAAAAAAAAAAGAAAAGAAGGAAAGATAATCTCCATGTACTCATGCCATCAAGTTATTCTTTTCAGATGCTTATGATGTAATGTAGGTTGGTCTCTAAGATAATTTTTTTTTTTAACTCGACGACCACCATATATGGTCACTAAATTTTATCATCAAGGTGGAAAACAACTATTCCGTTAAGAAAATTGCATACAATATACACGGACTCCAAATAAGCCTTCCTCAGTGTGAAGTGGTTTGTCAGAGTTTCCTGATTTTCTTACCCCTTTTCAGATAATAAAGGACTCTTGGAAAGTTAATAAATGTTATAGTGTTATACTAATGCATTATGCATATGCTATTAATGCATACGTATACTTTATTTTCAGAACTCGATCATGTAACACGTCATTCAGACCTCACCGAAGTGAAAGCAAACCAACCTTTTAGAAAGCGTAACTTGTCACGCTGCGGTGAAAACATGCATGAAGGTTTTCAAGGACTCTAAAGGGAAAATACTTTAGGATGAAATTATAACTAAACGTACTGAAGTAATCTTTCTTATTTTACACAATAAGTGTGGTTAGAAGCTCCATAAATCATTCGGGAAAAAAAATATTTGAGTTGATGTAAAAAAAAAAAGAACTTTTCAACTGCACTGTTGTAAAGTACACAAATGAAGGAGAACCAAGTGATTTATAACACATGGAAAAGGAATGAGCTTAGCACACATATGGTGCGCACTTCAATCTCTCCTTTTTTCAATGATGCACTATCTCAAAGAGAAGTATAGCTATTCAAGAGGATAACTATAAAGAGAAGCTATGAGCGAAAATCTCGAATTCCAGTTGTCGTTACCAACTAAGCAAAAATACTGAGGTAAGTATCAAACACCGGTTGGCGACAGGCTAAAATCCCGCTATAGCAGCCGCCGTGATGGCATGTGGCTCAGCCACAACCCGCCATGCTTCACAAATTTAGCATGGGAGTTTGGCAGAAATCCGCTCTGCCATACCACCATGGCCACCATTTAATAACATTGGCATCGACGTCACAATTTATACACCAATTAAACTAAATAAGTTTCCAAAGGTAGTAATGGAAAGGGAATTCCCATACCCACGAGCGATCAACTTCTGAACAGCATCATCAATCCCACTCTCAGATACACCAACCTGCAGAAAGAATTTATAATTTACATAGATTCAGCTTAGAAAATCAAGTGCAAACTTACATCTACAAAATCACATACAGATATAACATACACGTGCGCATGTATCCATAAGCAAAAAACAATTATTGGCTTACCTGACGACACTTCCCCACACCACTTAGTGTTATCCTCCAGTCAAGTTCCTTGTGACCAATTTCAGCATCTAGTTCATAGAGTTCATAAAACTTTCCCTATAAATTAGTAACATCAGTATGCAGTAAATAAAACACAGAGATGAGCAGAATAAATTTCTTATAAAAGAGACATCGATCATGAGACTTAAAAACACTTAAAGAAGGAAAGACAGCCATGGGATTACTCCACTCCATATAACTTAAATCTTAAATTTATTTATCCTTATAACAGAAACTATACAAAAGAATTACTGTAGCTCTTCTGCTTTTACTTAAAAACAGTGAAAGATGTTGAATCTGAAGTATTTATAAAAATGGCATTTTGTTTATTCCACATTATCCTAAAGAGGTCCCAATCACAAATATAATAAAAAAAGGGCACAATACAATTTACAATGCCAAATCAGAAACTAGGCTGTGTGATTGCTTCTTCTATATTATCATGAAGTGCTAAATCACAAACACAATCAAGCAGAGGACAAAGGCAAATCAGAGACTAGATCTTACGTTGACATGTTCCAGTTCCCGCCTTTCAAGGTTTATACTAATAAAAAGGAATCATGTTTCTTAAATAATAGTCAGTGGAAACCACCATTTTCCTTTGCAAATCTATTTATCTCAAGCATTAAATTTCATTTTTCAACCCAAAAAGAATTTCCTTTAAAATAACAAAAGTGTTTCTCAAACGACAAAACCAAACATGTTTTCATTTCCTCACACTTGCATAAAATCTTTTTCTCATTCATCACGCAAATGTAATTTCAAGTTCAAGATGAAAATCAATGAGCTCTCAAAATTTAATTATTAGCATAGAAGTTGGGGATAGACAATGGGCCTACAGCGATGTAACCATAAGAACTCCATGTAATCCTTTCCAAGATGAGAGGAAATACATTTCAAATGCAAGAGAACATCAAATCAAAGTAATTCACACTAACCACTTTAAAAAAGAGAATCACGTCCATATACTGACGTTTAACATCCCAATACTGCCTTTGGGATGCTGACATTTTTCTCAAAGCATCCGGAGGGATGTATAACGTCCTTTTATCATAAAGAGGGTCTCCTGGTTTTCTTCCGTTGACATCTTTGATTCGAGATGGACGGAGCCATTCAAACTTGCTAATAGTTTCAGAGTCCTCTTGGTTTTCCTTTAAAATCTCGGGAGCCTTCTGAAGCTTGGCTCTTTTCTTATGATCAGGTAAAGAAAAACTAGCTTTGTCCTCCAAATCTACATGCTCTTCCTGGACTCTCTTCAACCTAGGAACAAGAGGTCGCATGCCTGGTGTATCTGGCCCAAGAATATCGTCCTGGACAGCAGTTTCTAGTGTACAGTCTTTGTCCCAATCAGCATTTTGCTCACTCAATTGCTTGGGGAGTGAACACTGGTTGCCAAAATCTTCTGATCCATCAAATTTCATTGATAGCAGCCCTGAACCAAGAGTATCTTTCATGCTGGACCTGCATGCCGCAGCCAATAAGAAAAAATTTATACTCCAGCACAAACACGTGCAGAATACATCACTCAACACATATGAGAACCCATTCAAGAACACTACTTATTAACTAAAAAAAATGTTACTGCAACTTTTACATAAATTTCTGTAACTTCATTTGTCAATAAGCAAACACCTATATGGAATTTATTTGAACACTGAAACTGTTTTTATATATGATAGTTTTGCCTTCTTATTATTTCTAGCAAAGTGGATGTCTCAGTGTACCCCAAGGATTAGATATTATATGTCTCTTCTTTCTGCACACTTGCATCTAAAACAAAATCTACTTTAAGGTAAGACTTATTACTACCGTCTCAAATAAACTCTCTAGTTTTCCTTCTCTTAGTAACATAACCAAAATTAGATCTGTCTTTATCACCTAACAAAATAGAGTGTAAATAAATCTTCCCATAGTTCCCCAATGCCTTGAGCTTCTCCAGAGACGAACTTAGAGAAACAAAATCGAGTAAGTCTCAGACTGAATTCAGTGATTGTTCTAACCTTCCCATCCAGATATACATCCATCAATACAAAGTTTCAACCATATCTGTACCGATAACTTAAAACATAATTTAACAAGACCTTGAATGGAAAATTCCAAGCATTTTAGTGAAAAATTTCCCCTTACATCACCTCATCACTCTACTGCATAGACAAACTACCAGCAGAACCATCAAACATCCAAAGATCAAAATAAAATAAAAAAACAAATTGTAACAAACTAGGTGCCTTTATTTGTCTATCTAAGTTACGCCAAATGTAAAATCAAGAGAGTACGCAACGGGTGAGCAACATCTTAACCCTTCTAAGAGTAGAAACCACAAAATTTCACCACAAGAAGCACCTGGAGTCAGATGAGGAACTCTCGAAGGTGTCCATTTTTGTAAACTTGTGTTTGATGCTGGAGAAGACCGAAGGGCGGCTGTCGGGAAATACCCGACGAGGTACCTTCTCCGATGGAGTGTCGATTCCTTTGATTTCTTCATCGGACGAGTCGAGAGCAATGGGTTTGCCGGCGCTGGAGGGTTCGGGCTTCTTGAGGAAAGACAGTATTGACTTCTGGCGCTGCATTTTGTGTGCTGGGGTTGGGGGAGAGACGGAGAGATTCGGAGCTATTTATAGGACGACGGGAATTGGCGCCAAAAAGAGCGCGCAGTGACCAGGTTTCTGGACTTTACGGTATGTTTGGTTGGGAAAGGAAGAGACGGGATTTTATTAGGGAAAGAGAGAGAGGAGGGATTTTAATGAAGGGGAGAAAAGAGAATTGATGTGACAAAAAATAATTTTATCTTGTTTAAAAGGATTTTGTTAAAGGAGAGTTGGGAAAAAATAGTAAACTTTGTTAGGTAAGAAAATGAAAATGGAGGAAAAATAACGTTAGAATGATAAATATATTTTATTAATGTTTTATATAGAAACTAAATTATTATAAATAATAAGAATAAAATTGTAATTACATGTATTAAAATTTTCTGCCCTTTAAAATTTCCTCATATTGTGGAGGAGAGAAAAAATGGAGGGGAGAGGATCATAAGTTTAAATTTTTCACTCCCCTCCTATCCAAATATCCCAACCAAACAAGAGGAAAAAAAAAAAAAAAAAAAAAAAAATCTTCTCCCCTAGCCTCTCCTCCCCTCTCCTCCTTTTTCCCCAACCAAACAATACCTTAGGACCTGATTGGCTATGGAACATCTTGGAAAAAATGACATTGTCCATATATTTTAAAATTTTTATTACTATTTTAACATAATAATGGGTTCAGTATTCCATAATTACACCTCTTCGATCGAAAATCGCTCCCAATTTCCTTGTTTTTGTTCTGTTTATGGAAAAGACCTCCAACGACGGGCCTCCCCGTCAACCATTTTTAGATCCGCCGCACTCTGCCCAAAAAATTTTATGTGTGAGTCGAAGCCTTTTTTCCAAGTTGTCGTACTGAACGAATGCGGTGCTGGTTGGTTGCGACTGTAGGATCAGGATGCCAACCCCGATGGGTGAGTTCTAGGTGTTGCGCCTTCCTAGATCCAGATGACGCCGACAACCGCGAGTTCCATCCTTTGCCGCTGCTCGGAAGCACAATCTAATTTTCAGTCAAGGCTCGATTTACATATGCTGAGCCACTCATAAAATCCGTCGATCGCAACCGGGCATCCGAAGGGCCCTTTTAAATTGGACGGCCACACACAACAACCGCTGTTGCTTGTTGTCAGAAATGTTTTGCAGGGGATTTCATAATCGTCAAATGTTTGAGCAAGTTTGTACCTTTATCAATTTTAATTTTCATTTATTTTCTTTTTTTTTTTCTTTCAAGTTCCCATTGATGTTTTATTTAAATTACTTTTCATTGATATGTCGTATTATAAAGGTTGCGTATTTTGTATTTTTGTTTTTAAATCTTTGAGTTCTTCTGAATATTGATTGTTTGATTTCTATATTGATATTCAAATTCTTTATTGTATCCGATTGTTCTGGTTTAATAGTTATAAATTGACAGATGAGCTTTTTTTTTTTTTTTT